GGAAATATGAGTGAATGGCATGTAATCTGTTTGAAGCGGTGTCTAAATGCAGCATAGCTCAAATGTTATCTGATGCATAATGTTGAGCATACCGCACAATGCTGCATAACCGCATAATCTGATAAATCACTTTCACTCATTCTATATAACTGTTTGATATGCTACTGAAGTTGCTCACCAGACGGCATGTGATAATCTCGTTAAGAGACAGCTCTCCTTTCTAGTTGTTCCCGACAAAGATTTCTGCATGAGTTGCTACTTGTTTTCGATGCGGTCCGTATAGCTCACAAGTCACCTGTCAAAAAACAATAAGGCATCAGGATCTAAGTAGGTTGTTCAGGTGTAAAATATCAAGCAATGCAAGTATGATATGTCCTAATTACCTTGCGTACTTGAATATCCTCATGTTCATGTGTCACAATCAGCGTGTGCAGCTTAAGGCACAGCGCAGCACCTGAGGTTTCAGCTAAAATTTTTGGCTGTGCCGCTCCATCGCGAGTTCCTAGGTACGCGCCTGCCAGGGGATATAAATCAGACGATGTTATCAATCAAATATGGGTTATATTCTTAATGCTTAACGTTTCAAGCCATGTTTATAAAGGTTGAAATTACCTTCCTTGCATGACCTTTCCTGGGATTTCTTGGATGTCATTTGCCATAACATTTTTTACATGACTTTTTGTCTTTCTTTTACATGCGAATTTCAGATTGCTTAGTGCCATGCTGGCCTTTTTATTACATTACGCCTTTTTGGATTGCTACCAGTGCTGGATCCAAAAACATGTTTTTCTTTTGGTCGTGCAGTCTAACATAAATCCGCATCTTCATTAACTTTAATACATTTAAGTCTTCCAGGTTTTCAAGAACGAGGTCAATGTTCTTTGGTTACGTAAGCTATTAAGTACATTTGGAAGGAACGTTATTCATATAGATAAGATAGAAGTTATCGTCTTATTCCTCACAGAAAAGCCAGGAGAATGGAAGTATAGGCGCGTTGATATTTCGGCAGTGTCTTTATGAAGACAATAGCAGAAATACTCTGCGATTGTTTCAATAAAGGCACATTTTCAAATTATCAACGCACCTTTTTCTTGATTCTCCTGGTTTTTCTCCGATGGATCAGGCTTTTACTACTGCCATATCTATGTTATATAATCAACATTGATTTTTCAAGGTCAGACAGACCTTCGGTAACTTCTCAAAGTGTTGTCACTCAGTTAAGCTGTCAGAGAACTATTGACTTTAGGGAATTGTTTACTTAGTACAGTTTGGCTAACTTTGAACCTGTCCTCTACAATCCGATGTTAATTACCATCAATATTTTGAATTGGCAGTCACATATTATAGTATCACAACATACTGTAATGTGTGGGCGCGTTACATACTCTGCGGGATCGCTTGATGACGTAGAACTTGTGAGTGCTCCTTAAATCCACATATAAGAGCCCCCGCCCCCTCCCCCTGCGTTGCGCTAATCGGATCGGCTGGCGCTCCTTCCCCCTTGCGCAAGCCGTTCGATGGGTGGCCTGCTGGCTAGTTGGCTAGCCGGAAAGGAACCTTGCACTGATAGTATCGTGAATCATCAAATTATTTTTTCCGCATTGGTCAATCGTAGTGACTCAATTAACACTGAAAGTGGCAGTAAACGATCGTTTTCATGGCGTAAGACGCGGCATGACGTGCAAGGTGACCTAATGACGGTACAAGGCCTTAACAGGCACGATTTCTTGCACTCAGGGCCCTCTCACTCATGAGCAGTTTTGCTCATGCTGAACCGCTGCATATATTTTATCACCTGTATGTACCTGAGCGTTTTAAAGTTGCTATTAATGAAGGAGATAAGCAACACTGTACACTTGGGTCTAGTCTCTTACGTTAATAGCTGCAATTTGGTGTCAATGGACGCAGTTAGGCCAAGACAGCAGGCAGTGATATCGTGCCTAGGACTTATGTGAGAAGTTGCACAAATCAAAGTACACCTTTACACATGACTTCCTCTTTTTCTTTACGCATATCTGAACGCCACACGTCTGAGAAGTATTCAGTGACCTCCACCAAAGAAACCGATCGGCAGGAGATGCCGCGCTGTCTGATCGTGCCCACTGCCTCGACAAAGAACCCTGAAAAGTTTAAAAATTAAAAGTAGAAAAGCAAAAAAAAAGAAAGAAAAAAAACTGAAGAAAAAAGAACTTGAAGCGTTTTATGGTCCCCATGGGGGCGTAGGATGTTCGACGACCAACCTCGAGACAATGTCCTGCATCTGTTGGCCGCGCAGTGACGGATGTTTTTTCGTTATATTGCCCTCGCAAAGCTACGTTGGCTGCATTACCGTTGGCTGTTGTTACGCGCAACGCTGATTGCATTACTGCATTAGTGTTTTGGTTTCATGGCAATGCAGCTGAAAGCAAAGCAGAAAATTCACAATATCTAAGTTGTTCGAATCTGTGACGGATAAAGGGTTCTCTGCGAAACCCGAGTTTTTTACTTCCGCCAGGAAAGAACAGTGCAATATCTGTGTAACCCTCTGCTCATAAAGGCACTGGCACGTCAAACAATAGACTTGTCAGATGCTCTTCATGTAGCTTCCTTTGGGGCTTTGAGAAGATATTGTTTTAGTCGCACAGATATCTGGTAAACACTGATGGTACAAATACTTATTGCATCACACAGCACGTAGCTATAAGAAACTCTTGGCAAAAAGGAATGTCACGACTTAGGACGGAACTAGTTTTGTTATGCATTGGCAAGGTGCTTGCATTATTGTGGTGTGCGGTGGTTGCGTTATGGCTTTGCGTGTTTTCGAGCGTTGAATATGTGATGCATGGTGGACGAACAACTTTTTCGAAATATGTCACTGCGAGACTGAAAGGATGTATCTGCATCGATTGCATCAAAGTCTCTTAATATTGTCTGTTCGTCTAAGAGCCCCGCGCTAAGAATTCAAGCTGTTATTGTGGCGCTTGCACTCGACCCTCATCAAGATTCCTGACGTTCTCCCTCGGGTAACCTCACGCTAAGAACCTGAAGCTTCAAGGCCGTTCCTTGTTTCTCCTACAAAGCCGAGACCAGTAGCAATCACTGGTGCGGTGCTCAGTACTTGAAACCCTCGATTTCATGATCGATTTTGATCCACATTACCAAGTCTCCCAAAATAACCACATAACACATACCAATGTGTGGTCTTATTCATATGGCTACTACGAGAACCCATAGTACACCATGTCATCCTGGAGTGTTTTAGTGCCAAGTGGAGGCAAGCCCCTGTTCACGCGGTAAACGTCGCTTGACGCACATGCGCGGGTCTCTCCTCCCCATTCCTTGGATATCTCGAACCCGTAGGACCGCTATGACCGATTTTGACGTCAAATCCCAAACGAGAACTTGCGGTCTGAACTACTCCTAGTCCACAAAACTTAGGAAATGTTCCCCTGCCCCATATTTTTGCACCTGAATGCGCGGTTCTGACATGCTGCATCCCTTTAGGAGTGTTCGCACGGCGCCCTGGACGAGACCGGGGACAAACGCGTGGTTTTACGTGGAGCAGCTGGGCTGGGCGGGTGGCTGTTTGGTGATGGCTGCTCTGGACGGGTAGCTGTTTGGTGACGGCTGCTCTGGACGGATAGCTGTTTGGTGATGGCTGCTCTGGACGGGTAGCTGTTTGGTGATGGCTGCTCTGGACGGGTAGCTGTTTGGTGATGGCTGCTCTGGACGGGTAGCTGTTTGGTGATGGCTGCTCTGGACGGGTAGCTGTTTGGTGATGGCTGCTCTGAACGGGTAGCTATTTGGTGATGGCTGCTCTGTACGGGTAGCTGTTTGATGACGAAGTGATTCGATGGGGAAGTGAGCAGTAGGACAACTGGCTGTTTAACTGACGCTGTGAGTTCTTGACGCTGCATTAAAGGCTGGTTTGTTGGAGGCTGCTACGAGCACTTTTTTGCGAAACTTTAATCATCGAAGATATATCGGTGGCATTGCTGAAGAATGCATGATAATTTAAACCCATCTTACCATTAGGATTTCCGAGCAGAGGCTAATTGGGCTGAAAAGGTCATAACGTCGTACTGTTTCCAACAATCCCGGTTACCAAACATCCCAGCAAGTAAAATACGCTGAAAAATATCGTCTTGGATTTCACAGTTAATATTCATTCCAACTGGATCCCATAGTTCTGAGCTTAATCCAGCAGCCCAAAACACTTATTTTGGAAACCAAGTTTAATTCTATCCAGCCTTGCACTACGGAATAATACTCTCTTGTTCGGTCAGTCACGCTTCGTCCAAATGGAGCACAAAATGTCAAATGCATCAGTTGCCGACACATTGGCTTCCTCTTAAAGTCACCGTCGGCTCATCCAAAACGTCTTCTTTGGCCCAACTCAAATCCAATCCCATATGTTTTCGATAGAACAATGGATAACTCGCAGGCTGCTCGCAGTTCGCATATCATCAACAGTTGTCAGTTGTCAACAGTTGTCAGGCTGAGTCAAATCTGATTGGATAGGCAGGTTGATTAAATCCGTTATCTCTGAATAGTCCGTGCTTGTGCTCTGCCTATAGTGGTCCTGCAGTTGATGTTTTGCCACATAACTAGCCAACGCTTTCTGCCGACGGGGACTGCTGCTGGATACGGCTGACCTGCACCATCGAAATTCTCCATTTCAGCTGAAGAGTTACGGATCTGCACGCAGAAGCCCCGGCTGGATACGACGGAGACAACCGACGGCATCATGATGACCGTCTGCGGCTCCAACATGTGCAACGCAGCCGGCCCGCGCCTCTCATTGGCGGCCACCGCTCTGTTGCTCAGCCTGGCCGCCTGTCGCCTGGTCTGAGCCTGACACCGGCTGCGCCTGCTCTGGGCTCCTGCCGTCTGCTGCACGTCATCCGGGCGTCTGCCACCCCTGTACCTCCTCCGAGCACTTTGTGGCCTGATGTGCCTCCTCTGGGCATCAGCCCGCACTCTCTCTCTCTCCTGTGGGTGCCTGACTGTGTTCTGCACCTGTCCTCCGGCGCCTGTGGCTGCTGCGGGCGGTGACCGAGATGTGTGCCCTCTCCCTCCCCATTTCAGCTACTTACATGTTCTCTTTCTCAACCTCTTCCCCTCAGCTCATTGCCGCGCGCATGGCCCCTGCTGTCTCGGTGCGGACTCCACTCGTGCCCGTTGGCCGGCCTCTTGCCGCGCTGTTTTCTGATTCCGCCTGGTGGGCGGCACATCCACAAATCGCCGCGGTGACTGGCTGTTCCGGCGCCGGTAATGGCCAGGTGCCGGACTGGCACGAACAGCTGCCCGCCCAGCCACTCCCTCTGCACGAGCTCACGTGTTCGTACACGAGTCAGAGGAAGCGGCGGCTCAGGGCTGGCTCGGCCGTCACAGTCCACGCAGCTGGCTTCAGCGTACCAGCGCTATGTGGTTCTGAAAGCTTGAGTACAAAGGCGCCATTCTAAGGTCTCGGTCTGATAACGACGCCAACGTTGATGTCAAAAGTTAAGCATAAGAAAATGTATGTTACTTTTGGACGCGCTGCGTTGTTTCAAGTGGCTCGGGGGAATGGCGAATGGCAGGACCAGAATGATGACTTCATCTCCAACGCTTTTCATCGCCTTTTTCCCCTCCTAAATCGCTGTCATTGCCTGTATTCATGGCACTCAGCTTATATGAAAATGAACAACGATGGATCATTTATCTCTCGCTCTACTTGTTGAATCATTTACTAGTGCCGCTCTGTTCCTTTTTCATTTATGCTGTTGGCGCTTAGTGTGCAGTGCACTCGTTTGCGTCAATGCGTTTTGGATTGCCCTGCCTATGTATTGTCACTGGAAACAAGTGAAATATGCGAGGCCCAAGTGCGCACGCTGTCGGAACCGTTTGTGTTCTTCGAACAATATGGTTGGATGGGTGGGAGACTGAACCTCCAGAGAGCAATCTTACATAATATGACCATCCTGTGTTCCATGTAGATTTAGGCATATTTTTTCAGCAAAGGCTCATTTTCTGAATAATTTCCTATTCTCCGCTACTCCCCAGGGGCTTGCCAGTAGGTGCAAGGGAATTCTTTCGCGCAGCATAATATGGTCGCATTGATAACTAAGACATTCACAGACATGCAGTATTCACGTCCAAATAGAAAATGAATGCTGAAAAAATGGCCAGGATGTGGGGTTGGCGGCCCATGCCAATACGATCAATGAAAGCAATGAATTTTGAAATATTAACTTTTTTTCGTAACCAAACAGTGTTGCCAAAATGCGGTCATTTTTGCACAAGCATTGGCTTCAGCCAACTGAGCTACACGCCTGTGTGATCCTCAAGTCACATCCTGCTTCCACTTATACCGAAGCGAGTACACCCCCGAGAACGGGTCTCAAAAATGCAACATTAGGCGCTCCCTGGCCGACTACGTGCGTCGCTACGGGGTCGTGCAGCAGTGGGCTGAGAATGCGTCGTGAACGTTACGTTCAGTTGCAGCAGCGTGTTTCTCGACGCACGACGAACGACGCAGCGTGTTTCTCGTCCTTATCGCCTCTGGTAGTCGAATGCTGACTTGAAATCAACCTTACAGCCACCCAAAAACAGGCGGATCTATGGTTCGCGCTCGGGCGCGGGGCCATCATGCCCGACCGCGCCATTGTCGGCTCGATCACCTGCCCACTCCGTCGTTAAACGGTGTTGGCTCTTGTCGTGCCGTGAGCAGCTCCCATCCCCAGCCTCGTCCACACACGGTCGAGGCCCGGCCCGGCGCGGGCGTGAACCATGGCCGACGTCAGTCTGAGGCGCCTGGTCCGGGTTTGGAGCGGCGCAGCGCGGCTGTCGCCCCGGCAATCAATGGCACCGCACAGCTGCGGATCGGCCGGAGCTGACAGTCACGGCGACATTGGCGCGGCGTGCTGTCAGCGGGGCGCCGTGCGAGTCGGGGAAGATATGGTGCAGACGCTGCGCCGTATCGACCGGTCGTCTGAACGACAGCACGCGGCTGAATCGCTGCAAGACACACGCGGGAACGTCTGCCTTTCTTCATGTATGTTTGGGACCATTGTGTTCTCCCGGCTCTAGCAGGTGCGCTGGCTTCCAACAAGCGTAAGTTTCTGCCTGGCTGTCATGGCAACGGACTCATTCTTTGATTGGCATTATTTGGTGACAGCTGCTAAGCTAGCATACAGTCTGCACATGTGGGCGATTTCATCGCATAATGAGACCAGCTGATGATGTAAAGCACATCGAAGAGTGCCTGAATCAATATATGGTAAGCTCAAGCACGGACAGAAATAGTGCATGCCAATGATCTCACCCACTACCGTTGATAAAGAGCTCTTTTTGTCAGCTATACGTATAGCTTTTCATGGGCTCGCAGAAGTTTCTAACAAAAGCTGATACATTTACGCACACGTGAAGTTTGCATAAGCCTAGGTTTACCCGACGCCATAAGATTAACCGTTCGTGCAAGTGTTCGTTGTTCTCGGTACGAAAAATGCAGATGTCGCTGTTGTCCAAAAGCAGGCAGTAATTTGTTTATCACCAGGCTTTAGCGCCTCTCCTGACACGTGATACACACGCTAACAGCACATGCACGAGCATCGCCCCACAGCCAGCTCCCACGCGCGTCCCGGGGCCTGCGTGACCCGTGTAGATTGGAGGCGCTGAGTGAGGCAGTGCCGGATCGAACGCCGCCGCCGCAGCCTCAGGCGATATTCGTCGATACCCAGAATATCAAACAGGGACAATGCAATTTGGTATTGCACTTATACAGAGGCGATATCATTGATATACGAGAAACTACAGCCACCTCGTCCACTACAAAACTCTGCACTGACTCATGTTGCATTCCTTACATATATCATTACCCCTGTGGAGATTAGCACTTACGTAATGAGCATACATAACGATAAAATCGTTGCCGAGGGTTCCTTTTGCAAACCGAGCGACATAAACACTGCGCTCGAAACGGACCATCCGCCCAGTCGCGCAGCGCTGCGACCAAGTACAAAACGAGCGCGCAAAAGCCTCGCTTACAAAAGCAGACCGAAAGCTCGTAACCCTCTCTCTCGGAATGCATTTGAGAGGGAAACCCGTCAGCAGTGCAGAGCAACGGGAACGACAGGGGTAGCTTGGGGCGGCACGTGATGCCGCACCGCTGTGTACCCCCGCTGAGAAATAAACATACGGCTTGGCACGCGCTTGACGACATACCTTTAGATCGCTGAGTGGTCATTGCTTGAAACATACTCAACAACAATCGCACCCGCGCAGCTGACACGCCCGGGGCCGACGCGGCCGATCACGCTGCGCGGCCGACAGCACGTCGGCCCCGCGTCCTAGCCCAGGTCAAATTAACTCACTACTCGTCGTTGGACGACGACGACGACGCCGTCAGGTAGCGCAGTAGCAACTGCCATAGGGCCGGTGACGGTTGCGTGAGGCAGAGCGGCGTATCCGGCCAGCAGCATGTCAAGCAGGCGCGTGACGTGGCCGCGCCGCCTCCACGCGCGCTGCACTGCCACCATGTCTACCACGTCCATGGCGAACGCTTCTGGTTCACCTTTGATTAGCTGACCACAACGCTTGAGCGCGACGAATACAGCGGCCTCAGAGCGGATCCAGAGCGGCAACACCGAGTCCTCGAGCGGTGTGGGCATGATGGGCGGCTCGCCGGCAGCATCCGACCGCTCGCGCTCGCCGTACATGTATTGGCTGAGCAGGCAGAGCGCGGTGCGGTCGGACGGCGTGCGCACCGGACGCCAACCGTCGCGACTGTCGGGCGCGCGTAGCAATGGCTCTAGCTTGGTCCAGCGCTGGCCTACCTGGACGGCGGCGCAGGCGTCGCACAGCGGGCAGAAGAGGCCGGGCAGGCCGCGCTCTAGCCTGCTGCTGCCGTCCGGGTCGGCCACTATGAAGCGGGTAGGCACAGCGAGGCGCGGAAGCTCGTACCAGGCCCGCACAAGCTGCTGGCCTTCCTCTCGTACACGAGACGCACAGGCGGGCTGCGGACAGGACACTGCAACAGAGGGAGTCAGAGGGTTAGAGTGGCCACCACAGCGCCACGCAGGCACGGCCAGTGTCGAGTCTGGGGAGAGGCATGAGGTAAAGGGCGGGTGAGAGGGGGATAAGTTCGCAGATGCAGATGAGCCTCTATGAACACAGGATATTGGTACATGCGTACAAACCACGGATCACAAAATGAAATCGGGGACGTCAAACATGACTCGATCGGTGGCGACATCTGCTGATCGGCAGACGCAAAGGCCGCGCCATCTAGTGAGCACGGCGCCGTTTTCACCAAGGACGTCACCAGAGATGTCAGTTACGCTGCTCCAATGGAATATAGAAGGCGGCCCAAGTTAGTTACTTCTTTTTGTTCGAGGAGAAATCGAATTAATAACCCCGCAATACACGTCACTAGTAGATGTTATCAAGTGACACCGAATCGATTGAAAGCTGCAGTACTCCAGTGGGCTTTTCAGGGCTCAGGTGTTCTGGTGGCATAGCGGTAGTTTACAGGCATCCGTGAGCAGTGTCATTCGCATGGGGTTCAGACAAGTTGAGACATTTGGGCCTCCATCGCGCGATGGTCGAAGAGAAAACACAGGCACGAGAGCCTTTCTATCCGCCGCTGCCCGGCCCTCGTCGTCGCGCGCAGGTCCGCGCGGCCTCGCGTCTCGTTATTGACGCGTGCCCGTCGCGGCCGAGAGCATCCGTCGACGCCGCGTCGCTGCTAGTACGCGCACCGCCGGCGGCGGTCGAGGAGGGAGGACGGGTGTATAGAAGAGCGTCGCAAGAGACGACGGAGCGGCCGGCGGCAGTCCGGGGCAAGTGACCCGTGTGTCTCGAGGGGCGCCGTGCAGGACGTGGGAGCGGCCGACGGCGGTGCGAACCTCTGAGAATGGCAGGGCATCGCACCGGTGCTGGCTCTCGTACTCTGGGCGGCAACAGGTGGGTGAACTGGAGCATCCGTCCTCGGTGGGTCACCGGCGATCGACATCAGCTGCATGATAACCAGACCGTGCCCCGGCCGTCGCTGCCTGGTACGGCTACGCAAGGCTGTCCCCCAGTCAGCTAACACGTCTGATGGTCGTATGCACTTGCAATCATGCCGTCCGGAATCCCATTAGGTAACGTGCCCGTCTAATGCTACGTCAGGACTATCAAAATGCCCTAACCCCAATCGCAGCCCGCTTAACACGTACTTAAGGGAACGATCCTTATTTGAAGATATTGAATCAAGCATCATAGATGACGAAATTGTTAAAAACCTGGTATACTTTTAATTGGAAAAGACTGCCCTAGACAACACAATTCTCTTTTAAGTAAACATTCTCCTCGATACGACATTGTTTGATTGCGTTACCGTACCTTGCGCAACATTGATTGAGAGCCGACTGACATTCACCATTCCCGGAAATCGTGTTCATCAACACCAGGTATGAACGACTGGGCAATTATACTTTTATTGGCCTTGATCGTCGCATGGCCAATGGAAAGGCGGGAATTAAATGGCGTGATTATGGCGTCATGGATGCCTGGATGACCTTGAAATAGTCTGCGAAATAGCTTGCACATCTTTGCTGGCGTGGAACTCAAAACTAGACGGGGCTAGGTTTTAGAAAGGCAGGGCTGTAAACTAAACCGAGTGATCTTCAAGATGGCTACTTCAGGTCAAAACCCAACGCGAATGTGGAATACTCTCTTTAACTGACACGAAATAACACCAGGCATGACTCCAAATACTGACGAGCACGAGCAATCGGCAGTATGTGCCTAATCACCAGCCCGGACACGTACAGTCGCGACGGACACGGTCCGCCCGGCTCCCGTTTCGAAACAGACCGGGGCCGAGCGGACGCGTTCCCATGCGAGTGAGCGGGTGGGTGGCGGCGGGGAGCGGCGTCACAGTTGGGCGGCCAGCGTCGGCCCCGGCTGCGGGCGGGGCTGTGCCAGCCCCAGCCGCGAACAGCCTGATTCGCGACCCCTCCTGCACAGCACAGCTTCATTGTGGATGGCCGTTTCGGACTGGAACACGGGTCCAGCTGCCCCGGACGGGAACATGGATCCGGCTGCTCCGGACGGGAACACGGATCCAGCTACTCCGGACCGCGGTACCGGGTGGCGCGGGGTCACACGGGACCGGGCGCGGCTGGACACCAGGGAGGGGGGGGGGGACCAACACGAGCCACGAAACTACAGACGACCGGCCAGCGCGCTGCGGACCTGGTGACATCGAGCACACACCTCCGGTCTGCACCGCTGCACCATTACAGCCTCGTCCTGAATCTATACGGACCGTCTCCCCATGTTGTGACAAGCAGAGGCAATAAGAGCACGATCCGGTATCTGATCTTTCTCACGACGCCTGGGCGCCAGCATCTGTGACAAGGCCTCCGCTGCCTGTTCCCAGTGTCGCTTTCCTTGTCATGCACCGCTTGTAAGGGTGCTTGGGCTGTTACGTCTGCCTGCATCCGACCACGGGGGCGGGGGGGGGAGGGGAAGGGGAGCTGCTGGCCGAGTTGTCGCCGTCTTAGTGCGCCCGTCCAGGCAGCCGAAGGTGAGGTTATCCCATCACAGTGCGCCCGTCCAGGCAGCCGAGGCTAAGGTCGTCCCCTCACAGTGTGCCCGTCCAGGCAGCCGATGGTAAGGTTCTCTCCTCACAGTTCATGGGGGATCAAGTGGAAGGCGGGTAATCGTACGTTTCCCGCACCTTCCAGGCGGCCAAATTCAGACCAGCAAATAACTCCTTTCTTGTCTCCTGTTGGAGTTTGAAGACATTTTAAGCACCTCACCGAGGGACGTTTATTATAAAACACATGGCGAGGTCAGAAAAGCAAAATTGTGTTGTACATGAGGAGAATGTTTAACTTTATACGCCCCAAGCCTGCGTTACTCCCCCCCCCCCCCCCCCCAAAGGCGGTGATCTAGATCCGCCGCTGACCCAGTCGCCGGTGAGCGGTGATCCATAGCGGTCCCAGGCCCACGAGCCAGCCCATCAGCAGTCACAAGTCCGGCCTTTCACCGCGCTACCATACTGACGCGTGCGACCGTAATCAGGACTACAGCGGTGAGACGAAGCCGGACGAGGGGCGGCTGTGCTGCGCCTGGCTGTGGTGGTGACGCACGGTGTAGTTACGGTGAGACGAGGCCGGACGAGAAAGCGGCTGTGCTGCGCCTGGCTATGGTGGTGACGGACGGTGCAGTCACAGTGCCCGTATCCTGCCGGCTCCACACGGCATGCCCAGGCTAGCGAGCGACGAGAGCACGTTCCGGCCCCGCGTCGCCGGTTCGCTGCAGGCAGCTGTCGTGACCTCGGCCATCCGTTGGTCCGAGGCGTGTCGAGGGGAATCGCCCCGGCTGGGTGGAGTCTGGCTGAGCAGACTGAATGGACTGAACGGCTTTCCATCAGTCCGCTAATTTGGTGATTGTGGTTATTAATTGCTGCTCAGTTCAAGTGTGGGGGGATGCAAAGTTAACCAGCTTTGGTGATGGCAAGTCATGGAAGTGGGAGAGAGTGAGCGAGTGAGCAAGAGAGAGAGGAGATAGAGGAGACAGAGAGAGAAGGAGAGAAAGAGAGAGAGGGAGAGAGAGAGGAGAGAGGAGAGAGATGAGAGAGAGAGAGAGAGATGAGAGAGAGGAGAGAGAGAGAGGAGAGAGGAGAGAGAGAGAGGAGAGGAGAGAGAGAGGAGAGAGAGAGAGAGAGAGAGAGAGATATATATATATATATACATATATATGTATGCATATAGATAGATATATAGATAGATATATAGATAGATATATATAGATATAGATATAGATATAGATGTATATATATATATATATATATGTATATATATATATACATCTATATCTACATATCTATATATATATATATATATATATATATATATATATGTATATATACATATAGCCGGTGCGCGCGGGCGACGGCCGCAGCCTCCCCCCCCCCCCCGCTGACCCCTGTCCCCCCCCCGTGTGCCGCAGAGGCCGAGGCGCTGCACTGCTACGCCTGCGTGCCGAACCAGCAGATCGCCGGCGTGCAGATCCCGGCAGCCATCGCTAACAAGACGAGCGGCTTCCCGCACTGCAGCGCGCTGAGTCTGGCCGAGCCGGCGCTGCGGTTCGAGATGACCTGCCCGGCAGGCCTTGACCGTTCCTGCATCAAGATCCGCGGTGGGTCGGTGGCGGCCGGTAATGGCTGCTGGTAATGAGCGCGCCGCCGCACGGCAGCAGCCGAGCGTGCCCGGCAGGCGGGGCACGCGCGCCGCCGCCGCCGCCGCCGCCGTCGCCGTCGCGCTCGTTACTGACCGCTTCACACCATCCCGACCGTCATACCGACCATCATGCCGACCGTCATACGCTAGTGTCCTGCTCGTGTTGGCGGCGTGAGTACGTCACGATATTTTCTAAGCTTGCGGATCTGATGCGCATTTATGCGTACAGCAAAACCTTTGATAACATTATTGTTCCCGATGGGTTGATGACGACTCAAATGACTGAAAGACCCACGCGTATGTATATATATATATATATATATATATATATATATATATATATATATCGCGCATCAGGAAATAGTCGGAAATTTAATCTAATCCCAACCTGCGTCCGGTCGGGGGAAGTTGGCTTCCCTCCGAGATCTCAAACATCCAGACGCCGTAAGAAGGACCAAGTTTACCATTGTGAAAATTTCGTCAAATCACAAAGAATGCATACCAAATTTTTGATCTTAGGTAAGGTATAAGGTCATCAAAGGTCATTAAAGATCAAAATGGTCGTTTTGATAGGTGCTGTAAAACCCTATAGACGTGAAGACGGATTTTAAGGGGAAGAAAATAAGCGTTAAGACTGTGAGAGTCTATTCCGGCCACTCGCGTTCTTCCACAAGGTTGAGGCCAGATCACGTCATTGTTCAAAATTAGGCTACCAGTAGCCTACAAGAACTATACTTCTTCACCGTGTGCGTCTAAGTTTATTTTATTAGGTGTACCTGTGGAACAGAAGTATTTCAGACACAACAATATCGTGTGAGCTTAAGATAGAGGTCAGCTTAGGTCAACTTAGGTAAAATTTATAAAAAGTTCAAGAAAAAAATTGAAGTGCCATCCGGTTTTACATAACCAGTGCAATGTTTTTCTTTGTGGTAGGAAATAGTTTTGTACATCTACAGGTACTGAAGATCGTATCGTTGTTGTTTGCATTATGCATAAACCCAGGGAGCTAGAATCGCTTTTGAACTAGGGTGGGAGTGAAAAATTTCATCGCAAAAAGACCGTGCGGGAGTGAAAAATCAATTCACAAAAGATGGAGCTTATGAGCTCGTGACTGATGCTTCAGGAAACAAAGACATCTATTTCAAGTTGGCATGTACGTAATATCAGGAACCTGACAAAACTATTTCGTTTTTTTAACATCTTAGGCCACTAAAGTGAAACAGAATACATGAACACGCGTTCGGGTGGGGGGTGGGGGGGGGGAAATTGCCCCCCCCCCCGAGGGTTTTTGCCGAATGGTTTCTGAACGGCGCGGCGTAGTTACGCCAAATTTTGCATAGCTGTAGAAAACTGCATAGCGGATCGTTTGCCATGCAAATTTTAGATATACCTTGTATGGTCGCGGACCTATGACAGGTGAAAGTCAGCCCATGGTTTCAGCGAAGGCAATTTCTAGGGAATCGTTCAATCTGATACAACAGGGGAGTGTTTGACGAAGACATACATCTCTGAGATGCTTTCCTAGGCACCACAAATACTGAATGAGCAAATTACGTTGATCTGAGGTCAGGTATGATGCTCACACCAAGGTCAAAACCAACCTGATGTATTACTCTAGAGCTTGCTGTTTGGAATAGTTTCTGGTGCTCATTTCGAATTTATTGACAGCAGGAACCGCATTTTAGATCTTCATTTGACTTATCAGGGGTCAGAACAGGCCATCGACCTAAGATGGCCCGGGTCGAACGTTTTGTTTGAGGAACATACTGCCTAGCGCAATCTTTGTCGCTTATTCAAATGCAAAACGCAGAGCAGTCTTGCATCATTTTGGTCACCATGACCTTCAAAGGGTCAAACAAGGTCAGTTACCTCAAATGGGCTTGTGACCTTTTGCTTAGAGGCAGTTGCCTAGGTTCTGGGGGCGCTTTGGAGACCAACCTGGAATTTGACCTTGTTTGACCTTATTCGACCTGAACGGTCATGACCTAGGAAGCTAAAACTCTAACTTAAGCGAGTTCACGTATAGGTCAAGACGCCCTGTAAATTTGGTGTATCTAGCTTTGTTAGTTTCCGAGATCTCAGAGAGGGGGTCAAGTTGACGTCCCCCCCCCCCTCCCCCACTCCAGCGAAGGGCATCTAGCCGGCCAACCGGGTGGGTGTTAAAACATAGTAATTTCATGACAGTATTATGAGCATAACAAATTAATAACACCAACAATTTGATGCTGCGCTTTTCAATTCCCTTTCACAGCACTTTTAAAACAAAACAAAGCAAAGGAATTCAATAACAAAATAACAACAGAAAATGCAACAAGCATAACACATTCAAACAAAGAACCTTGGACTCCTACACACCAGCCCGTCACCAAGCCAAACACAGTAGACATACTTTTTGTATCTGTTAAGATGGGGGTCAGGGAAAACAAACACTTTGTCACTGTTTCTTACGAAATACCAATGCCTATTTCCATGAAAGTAGCCTATGCCTAACCTAAAGAGGCCTTACATCATTTCATCCTGTATAACCCGTTTGTATCGCAGCAGCAGTTGTGAGTTACTGCTTCTAGCACAATTCCTATTGCCACCTGCCATGCACTTGACCAACGTACCTAACTTAGAGTAGCCCCTATGATGAACATCATCTCAACTCACCTATCTGTTGACAGCAGCACTTGTGATAAAAACATGATATCTAAAGCTAGTTTTTAGCTGGTTTCAACTTGCATTTTTATTCAGTTCATTTGTGTATGCTTGTTGACATAAGACAAAGCTGACAACACACAAATGAAAACACTTTAAATCGCTTTGAACAACCTATTTTGATCGTCATGGTTAACCTATGTCAAGGGCAATAAAGGGTATGCTCCACAAAACAATCTCTCTTCTCCAAAAATAACATAAATTTTGGATGACCATGCCAGTATTGCTGCTTGCCTTTTCAGCTGCGGCAAAAGCATCCATTTGGGCTTGTTTATTCATATTTAATGACAAAGTTTGAGATGTTGGCTTCACGTTTTAAATGGGGTGGTCTGACTATTTGTTACATATCAATATTTAACTCATGTTATAATTGCTATGCAGCATAGAGTGTCCCTGTGTTAAAAATGTCGTGCATATATACAGTACAGTTGTTTGCCGGTCAGCAAATCATGACAACTATAGAAAACATTTGGTTAAAACAGCCATGAGGAACTACTTTAAGCAATTTGCGGCGAATAACCAAGGATACGGAACAAAATAAGCTTGTGGAATCATAATTTGTCTTATGGCAAAAATCGATGCATTAAAACACAACATGGCTAAATCTGGTTACCAATCATGGGTCGAAAGCAGGTAAGGTAAGCAATTACTTGGTCCACAGGAGACCTGCTGGCTTCTTCCTGCTCCCCCAAAACAAAATTCAGCACCTTTTGCATGGTCTGCTGGCAGACAGAGTCATCCGACTCACACCCAAATATACACTTCAGTCATGCCCACCAAACTTCGAGACTAAAATGCGAAACAAGAAAGAGGTATGCACGATAAACATCTCCGGAGGCCAGAATTTCGCCATCAAACACTTCTGTATAAGCTGCGTCAGGTCTGCCCCAAGGCTCTATATGGCAGCCTTGCCTTGCCTTGTGTGGAGTACCAGGCCTTGCCAGGTAGCCTGGTGAGTCAGACACTCGAAATGCTTGGATTTATCACTGTTGAACACCGCCATGAGCCAATAAAACGGTTAACCGAAGGTTTAAGAGGGCAAAAATGGCGGTAAAAAGAAGTTTCGTACTTCAAATTGTCTCCTTCATTCCCTGTGAATTGTTCACGCTTGAGTGCATATCAAACACGTTTGGGCGGCTGGCGAATTAATCCAATTTACGTATGAAATGCGAACAAGTTTGCAGTTGGAGCATCTTGCAGAGAAATTTGTCCCAATTTTAAGCGGTAGAGGGTACCTCTAAAGACAACTGAAAAGGAGGGAAGAGTGAAGTGGCATCACCGTGATATGATACCAAGAAAAAAAGTAGCTAAATAAATATAAAGACTAGTACTTTTCTCGCAAAATTTTGTGATCAGCTGATTTGACTTGAAATTTGTTAATGTAAGTGCTCAAATGGTGATATTCATCTTGTAAGTTTAAATTAGAAGGCATTTCTTGAACTTTTCACTCATGCATTTCGGGAGTGATGCAATTTAGTGATCAAGTTTCCTCGGGAAAAATAAATATGTGGAGTAAAATTCCCTACCAGGCGTTGATGGTGTTTGCACCAGGCTATACTTTCGTGGCGTGGTGGTGAGAAAAAAAATAGGGGATGCGTGAAAACTTTGTATTTGGCGCACAGCTGCAGATTGTGATGCATTTTGTAAACAAACCAAACTTCATGCGTGCGAGCGGCTGGGTCGCTGGCGTTCTTGGGCTTGGAGGTACCTGGCCCCCTTGCTCTGTGAATACGTAGAGATAATTCAGATGTAGGTGAGGCAGGACATAGCTAGGACTAGGTGCCCAGGTTCTGCGGAGCCTCGTTTATGCTTGGTGGTTTCAAGTGGGCTCGGTTTTGGATGCCATCTGAAAACCTCAGAAAGGGAAATAGGGGTTTGGCATGTGCGATTAGGCAATGTCAGGTAGGAGTGAAAAATTCACATAAAATATGGGAAAATGGAGTGAAAAAATCCTCCGCATAGGGTGTTGCTTCACACAAGTCGGCAATTCTAGGACACTGCAAAAACCCTTCAACGCTTGATAATGTATGTGTAACAAGCTGAGAATAGGCCTTTTGGTAGATGAAGCTATGCGTTATTAGCATCACAAAATACGATAAGGTGGTGGTTACATGCGTCTCATTCGTCCAGCTAGCCTCTCTGCTGCTGACAACATAGGCCATTGATTTTGGAAAACCTCGTATGATCTTGTATGTCCTTACATGACCTAGTGTGATTTTAGACTTACATAACATAACCACATCTGCATTTTTGACAAGGAAGTCAGAAAAATGATCTACCTTCAGGTCACTGACTTTGTTTCTTTTGAAAAACATAAATCAAAACTGTATGTGCTCTTGTGCTATATTAACAAAGCAAGTTCGAACGATGACAAACGATTCACAGAAGTTACTCGTGGTCAACACTTTTTAGAGGTTGATCGCTTTAATCTCACCCAGATTACTCATCGCGGACGGCCAAAACTTTAAATATGTACAAAAGATGTCAAATTGATGGATGAAATGGCACTGAAAATCTCTCCTTGCTGCGAGCTTTCACTTTTTACCTGTGCTCGAATAACGGTAGGGGAATGTCAGCTACCCCCCCCCCCCCCCCCGGCCGGGCGTGGGTTAAAGGTCTTAAATGTTGGATGGTTTCTAGACTTTATACGCTGCTAACGCAAGTTGATGAAAGCGTTTGGATATTATTATATCATGCATTGGAGTGGCAATCATGCAGTGCATCGTGTGCCAAAGGTGCAGTCTGTAACGGTAATGGCATCGCACGTTTCCCAACATATGTTGCTTGTAAACGGCTAACATACCCACAAGAAATTTAGCACCCGAGTCAAACCGCTGTAGGTAAGTTTATTTCCCACCACTTCTGATCTCCAGCAGTGTGATATGCACCAGTTCCGACCCCATTTTACGCAATGGTAAGATCAAGGGGGCAATCTCATTTTATTGGAGGGCCATGCCGCTCTGATATACAGTGTCAACGCCTGACACTGACACCGACCGAACTTGTCACCAAAACTGTCCCGCAGACGACAGCGGGAACGAGATGCGCAGCTGCTTCTCCATCGCCGTCAGCCGCTGCACCAAGACCTCCAAGAAGGGACAGGTGCTCTGCACGTGCAAGAGCGACCTCTGCAATGCGGCGGGCCAGACGGCGCCGGCCACCGCCGGTCTGACGCTGACGCTGGCGCTAGTGCTGACGTCGGCGGGCTTCGGCCGCCACACTAGCGCCGCCTAGGGGATGGCCGGCGCGGCGTCGGCGGCCCGCTCCGGCGCGCCCCGGCCCGGCCGGGCGCCCGCAGTCCGTCATCGTCGCTAACCGCGTGATGACGGGTTGAGCGATGACGTGCTGACAACGCGATGACGCGATGAGTCAAGCAGCACGGCGCCGAGGCCACAGAGCACGGCGCGCTCACGGGAGCACGCCGCGGCCGCCCGGCCCAGGGCCAAACGGCAGGGAGCTGCCGCGCCACAGCCGAGCCGTCCACCGTCACGCAGCTCCGCCACGGAACCGCCGCCAGCCGACGGGTCCGGCGATTACTGGGAACCCCGTCAGTCGTCCTAGGTCAGGCCTATTGAGCTGGTAGGCTTTGCTGTCAGGCCCAGTGAGTTGTGGTCACGGTCATGTCAGCGTCAGCAAACATACCCAGGCAGTGTATTTTTGTCTACATGTTTTCTGGGGCGCTATACCGTGGCGACAGCAGGTTTGCCGCTCCGACGCGTCGCGACAGCTGTAAGGGCGTGAGTCAGACAGTGTACTGAAGCTGAGAGCTGCGACGAGTACGAGATGCGTACGGACGCCGATCGCACCGGTGCGGGATCTAGTTTAGCCGGACTCGGCTGGTGTGCGGACGGTGTCTACTCTTGCCACAGAGAATGTTCCAAGATCGACGTTTTGTGACAAATATACGTTTGCGCTGTAGAGGCATTCAATAAAATGCGTTTCGCATCTTTTTTGGGCAGACCAGCACATAATCGCGGAAGCTGTGCAATTTGGAAGCCAATCCAGGTATGCCTTGCAACCAGCTGCCAGAACAGTCCGGCACCTTGTCATGATCTCTTTGGTCCTCAGAAAAGTACCCAATGTCATCGATAGCGACTAACACCAGCCGAGCCCCAGCCAGTCATCGATGACATATTATCTCTACAAGAAAAATGTTGAGCGTGAAGGTTAATGCAAGAGGCAGAAGTGCAGCCAAACACGTAGGTAAACAAATGACACGAGTTTCACTGTAAATGCCCTCCTTGAACGCGTTCAGGAATAGGCAGGCCACCGCCGCCAGCCCCGCTGTCACCATAGCCAGAGCCATGGCTGCGGCGACAAACACCCAGCCGGCGGCGCACGATCGACCACCGGTGCCGATGTTACGTCCGCATCCGAGCAACGGTTGGAGCGCCGAAGCGATCGGCCCGGCCAGCTCGACCAGTTTGGCTGCATACGGAGCGGCCCGCGTACGGCGAGCATGGTCGCAGCACGCACGCCCCTGGCCTTCTGTCTGCTGACGCTGGTCGGCACCGGTGAGTGGCACGTGCCGGGTTTGCTTGTACGGTAGACGGGGCGAAGTCTGCGTTCGGCGCCTCACATTTTATTTAATAACATATATATTTAATAAGTCTATTAAGAACGCTTGCAAGTCCAAATATAGGTAAAAGTTGGTATTTGCTGATACAGCGCGAATGTAAAGTAGAATGTGGAAATATTTGAAAATCACCGCCTGAAAATATACCACAGTCGTAGTTTAATATTCTAAAACTCTTGCCTGCCGCACTGCGGGTGGATTACGGAGTACGCACTGACAGGAAGTCACTAGCAGATCTGATCGGTCACACACGGCCATAAAACCATGCTCAGCTCTCAAACTGGAAAATGACCGAGCACAGGTATGTAGTTTTGCAAAATGGGTTAGGGCAAGGGGGCTGAACAGCAAAAATTGCTTTGACCTTCCCCGGTATGCTGATGATGCTGGACTCGTAATCCAGCGGCACTGGGTACGAGTCCCGGGGTTGGCGCATTGTTTGACCCGACTGAAACGGAAAGGCCAGCTGGCAACTGGCCAACGAGGTTCAACCCAGACCCGAGGCGGCCGTGTCGCAGCGTTGTGCGGCACGGAAAACCCTCCGCATTCCTGCCTGGCGAAAGGGCGGAGGCAAAATTAGCTGTTGAACTGGACGGCACGCTTGGGTGGTGGGTTCGGGGTACACGCAACAAGCTATGGTTAGCAGGTACTCTGAATCCGAAGTCACCCATACAAACCATTGGGAATAAAATAAAAAAGATATACTGCTATCAATGGGTTTCTCGCCGGATTTGTCCTTTTGGGAGCTTCAGAGCTTGGCGGGAATCGGCAACCCTCTGCTGTCCATGAATAGTGTTTGCAATATCCGGCGGTGTGGTGTATTTTTCGACAGTCATGCTTAGATAATTCGACATTTCAATATACGCATATCGTGCACCAATGGAACAGTCGGACCTTATTCCATTGGGTGACCTGCCCTCAGGCGACCGGCCCCACATCAGGCGGACAGGGCGGGTGAATGGGACGCGCGGGCCGGCAGGCGTCCGTCCTACGCCCCCGATGTCTGCCTTACGCTCCCGGTGTCTGCCTCACGCCCCCAGTGTCTGCTTCATGCCCTCGGTGTCTGCCTCACGCCCCCAGTGTTTGCCTCACGCCCCCGGTGTCTGCCTCACGCCCCCGGTGTCTGCCTCACGCCCCCGGCGTATGTCTTACGCCCCCGGCGTCTGTCTCACGCCCCCGGCGTGTGTCTCACGCCCCCAGTGTTTGCCTCACGTCCCCGGTGTCTGCCTCACGCCCCCAGTGTCTGCCTCACGCCCCCGACGTCTGCCTCACACCTCCGGCGTCCGTCTCACGTCCCGGGCGTCTGCCTGGCACCTGTCTTACGCCCCCCAGCATCTCTCTCATGTCCTGGCGTCTGTCTCTCGCCCCCGACACCTGTCTCGCGTTCTGGGCGTCTGCCTCAGGCCCCTCGCGCTTGTCTCACGCTCCCAACATCTGTCCCACGCATCTGTCTCACGCCTCTCGCGTCTGTCTCGCGCCCCAACATCCGTCTCACTCCCCCAGCATCTGCCTCACGTCCCGGGCACCTGTCTCACGCCTCCGGCGTCCGTCCGGCAGGCCAGGCTCTGCTCTGCTACGTCTGCATTCCGCCGCTGGCCGGCAATCCGGCCGCACAGAACGCCGCCAACCTGATGCGAGCCAACATCAGCCGCACGTTCCCTGGAAAGGCCGAGTACGAGTTCCAGGTACGGCTTGAGCGGCGCTGTCGGCCAGCTGCGCCTCTGCGACTGACGCAGAAGGGGCTTCAGGATTCGCTCAGCCCCGGGGACCCGGCCACTGACGCAGGAGAGGCTACAGGAGTCGGGCCAGCCCCGGGGACCCAGCCACTGACGCAGGAGAGGCTACAGGAGTCAGGCCAGCTTCGTGGCTCCGGCGATATTGCTATCCCAGCTCAAATACTCTTCTATGATGTGGCTCGAGGATGGATGTGTCAGCCGCAGGCCTGACCTGAGCAGCTTTCTAACAATAATCGAAGAGACTGACGAAAAGGTTAGTGGAAACGTCTCGGTCAGTGCGGGGCACTAGCAGTCAGTAGCAGCAGTTTCGGTCAGTGCGGATCTCGGTCCTGGTGTGGGGAGTTTTCCGACTGCCACGTCTTGGCTGGCTTCTAGGTACCTCCTGCGTTATAGTTCCGCTGCTACTTATACCGTTGCTGTTGTTCTGTTGTTACTTAGACCACTGTTACGTTTTGTTGTTACGTAGAACCGTTATTATTTAGACCGTTATTATCCTTCCGTTGTTACTTAGACCGTCACTACTCTTCGGTTGCTGCTTAGACTGTTTTACTGTTCTGTTTATTGTAATGAGCTTCAGTCAAATTATGCAGTCCATGAAATCCTTCCACTGTGAATGCATAAGAGGAAAAAATCGTAACCCAAAGCGCCATGTGCCACAAAATGACCATTATCACAATTAGATTTACAGATGAAAACCAGGCAATAGAGAGCAAACCATGTAACTTTGTAAGCCACGACAGCGGTGGTGTTTTTAATAAGCCACCAACTCGCCAACCCACATGACGATAAAAACATATCATTATATATTCCCTTTTCGTCGCGATCGGCTCAAAACACAGCCCCCAGGCAAGCACGATGGAATGCGTATTCCGACACAAGGCACACTTACTGCACTGCAGCGAGGACAAGTCAAATGGCATGTTGCTGGCATGCGGCGGCGACCGCTGCAGCTCGCTAGCCGTCTCATTGGTGGAGCCGTCGCCAGCCGAGCACAGCTCCGTCAGCGCCTGGTGATCAGGGTTTCGGTGACCCCCTCCCTCCCCGCCAAGGGGAGACCCGAGTTGTTCCCAAACGAGTCGTAGTGACGCGGCTCGGTGGCTGACGGTCGGCTCTGTTCGCCAGGAGTGTGGCGCCTCGTTCGACATGCGCCAGAGCAGCGCGCAGGCCGCGTGTCCCTGGGATGACGACAGTGTCGTCTGCCTCGACATCAAGCATGGTGGGTGAGCCTGCCGCCCACTGGCCGGAGGAAAAGCTGCACCGCCAGGCGCATGGCTTCACTGTGGGAACATAGGCTGAGGCTATGTACGACGTACGTGCATAGGTTAAAAAAAACGACCGTGTGAACAAACCAACACCTGCGACCGAAACCCCTGCCGGTCTTGACATCCAGATACCACGTCACAGTTGCAGGTTACCACGACCCCAAGGGGCGGAGAGAACACACGCGGAGATCGTCGGAGATGCCGCCCTGCCAGGTGTCACCAGGGGCGGACACACGCGACTCTCGGACATCCATTCTCCAGGGGCGGACACATGATGCCACAACTTTCAGAGCATTCCTTTTTCAGGGATAGATACGTAAGACCATGACTTTCGGGCATCTTTTCTTCAGGGGCGGACACATGAGACCGCGACTCTCGGGGCATCCCCTTCTTTAGGGGTAGATACATACAGTCGCAACTTAAAAGGGCATCCCTTCTTCAGAGATTAACACACGCGGTCACAACTCTCGGGGCATCCCTTCTTCACGGGCGGACACATAAGACCGCGACTCCCAGAGCATCCCTTGTCGCCAGACGGCGCCCGGCGCGCGGGCAGCAAAACTACGCCCGCGTCAGTAACGCCGCACCGTCTGCCGACAGCCGCCTGGCAGGCCCGAACCTGCGGTCGCGTGCCGTTCGATGCCGACCTGCGGTGCATCCCCGGCGAGAACGGCGAGGACGGCTGCCCCTGCCCCAACGCCCTCTGCAACGGCGCGCGACGCGTGGCAGCCGCGCCGGTAGGCCTGGCCGCCGCTCTGCTCGCGCTCGCCTGCCAGCGCGCCTGAACGCTGATGGCACGAGCCGTCGATTCGTCGGTAGCTTTGCTCGGATGCATGTGACATCACTCATCAGTTATAATGTTGTTTGGTTGATAAACCATGTGTTTACTCTTAACGTTCAATATTCACGCTAGGTGAGCAAACATCTTATTTCAAGTTTGGAAGTTGCCTGATAATTGACTGGCGGGAGTCTTGATTACGACACAAATTTTTACTGAATTGGTGATGATCAATGCATTGTATGCATCAACCAGACCCGATGTACTCGGGTCATGAATCCTGCGTCAAAACTCACACCGTGCCCTTATTTTTCGTTTTTTGAGTGATAAAGAAATTTATGCACCTTGTACGGTTTCTAATTAACATCAGGTCGTATCAGGCCATGGCATTCAAGCAAAAGCAGTTCCAAGGGAATCGTTCATCTGGTGCGGCAACTGCGGTTTAGACGCAGCCATGTATCTTTGAGGCGGTTTCTTTCACAACTTGACTATTTGACTAAAATTACGACTAATTCCATTCAGTTGGAACCAAATATGTGGGTGAGGTCGAGATCAAAACAAGTTTTGATTTCTACTGGACACCTTGTTTTATGAGGTAGTTTTGACGTTTGTTTCGACCATTTTAACCAACAAATCACGGGAAGTCATAAAATATGTTATTTGAGCTTACTTAAGGTCAGAAAGGGTCACTAACTTAGAATGATCATGATAACTTTTTTATTTAAGAGCATGCTGCGCAGCATACTCCTAGACGCCTACTGAAATTAAAAATAAAAACAATATCGCAGGTGTGTGGTTACCGTGACTTCTTAACTTAAATACCAGAATTCAAATAAGGTCACTGTCTTAAATGAATACAGTGACCTTTTCCCTAGCAGAGGTATGTATGTTAAAGATGACTGCATAAGGATATGTGAGGAAACTTCGACATCAACCTCGAAATTGAACTTGTTTGACTATTTTTTAACCAAAGGGTACTGGGATGGGGACCTCAAACTTTTACAGAAAATGAATTCACATGTATGCCTATGCATCCTGGTAATTTCGTGCTTCTTAGTGTTTGAACTATCAGGGGTTAAATTAACCCCCACCTATCCGAGCGGCGTCTTATTCAACCGGCCAGCCGGATGCGTGTTCATGAAGAGCAACTCAAAACCTACAACGCAAAAAACAAAACTGAAAATCTTACTCAGCCAACTTTTTTCAATCTCATCTTTTGACATGTCATTGGCATGTCATGCATGACAGCCGTTGGTATTCAGATCCCATTCATGAGTTCTGTGCTAGAGAAGCTTGGTGGCTTATCTTTATGTCTATGACATATCTTTATGTTTATAGTTGAATTCAGACAAGGCGTTAATTTTCGTGCAGTTTTTGAATCAAAGAATTTAATCGACGGTATTAACATTCACCTTGACTTAGGAAAATGTATACCAAATCGTTTTCGAAGAGAAAACAGTTAAGGTTACGACTCACATTACGGCGTTATGCCAATCCATTTACTTGTGACAGTATGACATGCGCGTTTTATGAACTGTCAATCGAATAAACTTCAGTCGCAGCCAGGTCTGCTGATGACATGGTTCCTTTTAAAAATTAACGTGTCTAAGTAATGTGAGCTGTCTTAACTGCATCTTACTCCACATCGTCACGTTGTCGCACAAGTATAGCGCCCTGCCAAGCAGGAAAAGGGCACGGAGGGCAACATGCTCTCAATGATTTTCAATAAGATAGACATTTTGTTTCCCAAAGAAAAGGCCTCTCGTACTTTTGTTCTCATCATTGCCGTCTCTGTTGGGTAACACTTTCCGGGCAGCAAAGCATGAAATGCAACCGAGATGACCGCTCGTAATAGATAATTGGAAAAAGGGTGATATGTATATATATATATATATATATATATTTATATATATATATTTATATGTATATATATATGTATATATATATGCATATATGTGTGTATATATATAGATATACATATATATATATATATACATATATATATATATATATATATATATATATAATCTTGTGGGATTACGGAGTACAATATCTTTTAATTGAGCTAAGTCGCAAACCAAGTCACCATCGACCTAAATCACGGAGATCAGGATTGGAACTAGGGAAATAACAGTTAGATATGAGAGCATTGCAAGAAAACCACAGCATTTAAAAGTCATCTGCAGCAAATACGCCCCAAAGCTTCGCATATTGGGACCACGTAAGAACGGGTGTCACTTGCTGAACTCTTGGTAGGGCCTGTGCGCCCCTCACCCCGCTCGCCCTAACGGATCCGATAATTCGTGGCCAGTCATCCGACGAATGATTATAATCCGAAGTGTAATGATACTATTTGGACCTCGTTGATATTTTTGCACTTAATCCAGCCTGTGGCCAGCGTGCTCTGTGTATTAGTGAGCTGGTGTGGTAATCACGCTTAGCAAACGTCGATGTGAATTGTGATTTGTTGACGTTTTCATGACAGTCAATGATGCACTTTACTTACCTGCAGCCATTTTCTTTCCCTTCATTCGATTCGAGTGGGGGTATGCAGGGACGCGAGTAGTGACTTAGTTGTTGGTAATATTGATTATACGTTGAAAATATAAATTTTTGGACAATTCGATTTTTGGACACTGGACGGATAGCTGCTCCATCCCTGGATCTCGGATTGGATTTTGGCCAATAACTCACAGAAAAAGGCAGCTCTGTTATGGTAGCACGGGTACGCTGGCGCCGTGTACGTGACATTGCGGCTTTACGACGCACCCAGCTGCTGAAGCTACATGTCGTCGCCGAGCAACCGTTGCACAACCGACATTCGAACCTCAGCGCCGAGGGACGGGGGGCGGGGGGGGGGGGGGGTGGCGAGCAGACGGTCACAGTCGAACCCGACTAATCATCAGCTGACGCGACGACGGCCCAGCACCACCGACGAATGCAAACACCTGCCGTGATGGCCACGGTCAGGCCCGCGGTGTGACCGCGGTGCGGGAGCAAACCAATTTCCGATTCCAGCCTCTGGGATTCGACTCACTATTGGTTCATAATCTTTGTTGAACGACCCAGATCTTATTCAAGCAATGATGTTGTCATTTTTTATCGATTCCTTGTTGATTTAAATCTCAGTTCGATGGTTCAATGCTGATTATAATTATCGTATCAGTATGTGAATTGGTTCAGCATAAATTCATTCCACATTCAATGGCGGCGTGATATGCAATGCTTAGAAACTTGAATATTGGTTAATTTATAAATCACGTATTCACAGCCAATATCCAATGATTCCGATGTTCAATAGGTTTAACAGCCCCTGGCAATCAGACAACATTTATGAGCAAGGTGTTGGCTGGGTTCGATAGAACGTGTTGCTGCTAATTCTCAAACTATTTGAGCAGAACGTGTTTCGCATTAAAAAAACACACACACAAAACAATAAGCACACACTGCGCGCTAGTCCTAACGCACCGCTCCAGCCTGACGCCTACCCTTCGAAAATTTTCCTGCTTTCCGAGCTGAGAAGCCTTGACGTTACTCTTGCCTCACCGATCTCAGAACCTTCTCTCTTCCTTTTCCCTGCCCTGACCAATCAGCATTTTGCATGACCCAATCCAACAAAATTATCCTGATCACTTAACCGTGGCAATTTGTCATCTATTGCACACGTTAAGTTTCATTCAGCTGATTCAGATCAACTCTTTTTAGGAGCGCCAGTGGTATTGTTCACGACTCATCTTTAGGTCCTACGCGACAGAATGAACTCACTTGTGACTTAATTCCAAAGCATCATGTCGTTTATGAGTCATTAATCTGCTCATCTTGAATCGAAGATAGCTCTGCCTGGGAAATAGCAGAATTAGACCAACGGCACACGCATACCCATTCAAGCTGTTCACGTGGTCACGTTTCGCAACATGAAAGTGCTTATCTCCCTTCCAACTGATCTCAGTAATTACGTGTAGAGCAGGAGCAAATGTTTGCTTGGGAAGTTGCGATAGGATCAAAGCCAACGCTGTTGGTACCTAGGCGGGGCTGACGGCATGTTTCAGAACAGCATTCAGGCCTGGTAGATTGGACACCTCGCCATCTCGTTATTTTCATGCTACTTGTGGAGTTAATCTGTTCACCCGTGATGCCACTCTCTCGCACTAAATGCGTCTATGTGCTCAGAGAACGGCATTGGAGGATCTACACGTATTGATCCACAGAGTAGCGCGCGCTGATTCAAGGAGGCTACATTAGGTCTCTTCTCAGAAGAAACTGCAGCGGAAATCGGATTAGCAGTTCGAATAGGAGGCAATAACCGCGCGCTGTGCCGCACGGCCACCCCGCGCCCGTCGCCAAACTATAGATCGCACCGCTGCCGCAGTCCCTGTCAGCCAGTCTTCTGCGGCGTCCATGCCGCATCACCTGCCACTTCCGGACACATCTGGAGGTGGGGGAGGGGAAAGGTATAGCCCAAGCCGGGGCGGGGCAGTGTCGTGCAGCACGCCCACGGTGGATAGCCTCGTAGAGGGGGCGGCCGACCGAGCAGCAGCGACGCACAACACCGGCGGCCGACCGAGCAGACGGCGGCGCACAACACCGGCGGTATTGGGCCTTGCGTGGGCCCCAAACGGGACGCCATTGAAGGGAGCAGCCTGCAACACAGGGGTCCGCACAGACGAAGCGTGATTGGGTGATTGGGGGTGGGGGGGGGGGGGCACCCGCAGCACAGAGGTCCACACAGACAGAGCGTCATTGGAGGGAGCCACCCGCAGCACAGGGGTCCGCACAGATGGATCGTTCCTGGGTTACTGGGGGGGGGGGGGGGGGGAGCCACCAGCAGTACAGAGGTCCGCACAGACGGAGTGTCAGAGGAGAATCCACCAGTAGTACAGAGGTCCGCACAGACGGAGTGTCAGAGGGGGGGGGGGGGGGCGCAGGGGTCCGCACAGACGGAGCGTCATGTCCCGGACAGACGCCTCTGTACATGAGACAGAGAGACACATAAGTGCGTGGCAGGTG